ATTACCTATGATTAAGGATTCCCGAGGGAATCCGAAACGTCAGGAAAATAAGATCCTTGTTCCAGTGATCGCATCTTCTTCTTCGGAACTGCTGCCTGGAACTCGTATATTCTCCTCTATTGGCAAAGAAAATTTCCTTCTGTATAAAGAAAGTGATTGCTTCAAGGTTTCATCTTACCAAGAGATTTAAAGTTATTTTTCACATTTATAGCTATTTTTACGCCTTCAGAATTTCGGGATTGTCGACAAAATTTTATATTTCTTTAAAAACACTTAGTACTTCCAATAGTTCTTTTAAGTGCTTAATATGCCTAATGCTGTTCGTTATTATTTATTAGTTTCCCCAAATGCGTTTTCGCTGGTATGCGAGAAATAAGCAAACTTTTATAAACTTAGGCAAGTTTCTCGCAGCACTGTATCTCCTGTATATAAAGAATTTAAAAACTTTTATTTTACGAGTGGGTCCGCCTACAAATATGCCTTAGAATATGCATAGCTATAACGTAATGAATATATTTAATTTAAGCATATACCATTGAGTAAAATAATGAAATGAATTACTGATGACTTCCTACGTGTCAACCTATATTTACTTCATAGGCAACTAATGCTGTCAATTGGCATCATCCATTTTACTTAAGTGCACTTATTTTTAAGGGATTTCTTGAAGAATTCTACGACACAACATTGCATCTGCCAGTTTCTAGAAGACGCAGCGTGATTGGTTGAAGAGGTGCAGTATAACTGCACCATTCTCGATAAGGCTCGACGTATTTAAATATGCACTGACTGAAGGGGAAAAACATTTAACACGCCCTGACTAATTATCTCCTAGGAACTATGACCAGCGAGTTGAGTTTTTGGGTTTGTGCACCGAATACAGACTTTCCTTGTGCGTTGGATATAATCAACCTGATTCTTGAACCTATCGGCATATCACTAAATGTTTGGGTACTTCATATGCTGTGCCGCTTGCGGGGCAAAACACTGACCAGCCTTACGTTGCTGCGAACACTCACCTGCACCGCACTTCTGACCCTCCTTATGAATTTCATAGAGGACGTCTACCCATTTCCTCTGTCGACCGACAGTTACGTCTTCAACCGTATTGCCTGTTACGTCTGGTACAGTCGATTCTTCTATTGGATATTTGTTGTTATGGGTGGCCTTGTGCTGACCTACTTTACGGCTAATCGAGCCATACAGATTGTCTGCAAATACCAATTTGCGTACAGCTCTTCGCAGGCTGTGGAATTAGGCTCAGTTGCCGCCATTGTTGTATTCAGTGCTCTGCTCACTTTGCCACAAGCCATTACTGTGCAAACGGACGGAAAACGATGTATTTGTTTTGAGAAGCCTATCAAAATTCCGAACGTAGTTTGGACCTTCACAGAGGTTTATCTCTTCTTCTCCGTTCTCCTTGTGCTCAACGGCATTATCCTCACCTTCTCCTGTGTAAAGGTCCTTCGATGGATGCATCAGACGCCCAGGGACAGCCAGATCGACACGGTGAACAGTGTCTGCTTTCCAGGTACGCCAACGGAACTGGTCGAAAGGTTTGCCAACTGCCGAGGCTGGAAGACAGCCTCTGTATGCATGGTGCCGCTCTCCGTCAGTTATGTAATCTGCTTCGCCTACGACAGCATCTATCAGTTTATTTGTGCAACTGGGCTCTGCACCTATGTGATCCATAGCCCTGCGCAGAAGTTCGGGGGCACCCTGTTAATTCTGCACGCTGTAAACGTACCTATCATCCTACTCATCTTCATTCCAGCTCTTCGACATGAGGCTTGTCTGTTGAAAAGTCGTTTTGCCAATGCAGTACGAAGAAGCGCACAAGCTTAGCGGAGAACCGTTCTGTAGAACGGCTTATGCAAACCTAGACAGAAATCCTCAGCATGGCGTCCTTATGTATCTTCTTTCGCGACACTGTGTTTTAACTAGAGTGTGATATAAAACAGAATTTTTTGATTCTATAAAAGAAAACGTGTTTTCTTCAGAATTAAAGTCGAAATAAAAAACTATCCAGAAATATTACTCTGATTCTTCATTCGTTAGAAAATAGTGGCTGTAAACGGGACTACCTTAGTTTTGTTAAATGATTAACAACGCTTTATCCATTTCCAAGGATGCAGACAAAACGGGATTCTTTTACGGCATATGCACGTACTACAGTCACTAGATAAAAGCAAATTTTCTGAGAATATGGAATTTTTCCGCTGTGGGCGAAAGTTGAACCTAAATACGATTGAACTCTATCACGTACCGATACGCGAGCGTTCAAAAAGCTTGGATAACTGCCAGAAAATACATATATTATTAGAGAGTTTGGCAGATTTTAGTAATCAAGTCGACTCAATTGTGAACAATGCGTTGGCTCGGTGGGATTGAAACACACATCAGCAATCAAGGCTCTACCTACTTTTCATACGGTATCCACCATTAGGGATAAAGCAATTTAGAAGTCAGTTTATGGCAAACAATTTTTTCAGCAACTCTTCATCAGACCA